AAGGACCATATATGATATATCCGTACGTAGCTAGGAAGGGAGGGGCATTCTATATCTATATGACATACAACCGTGAGACGTCGAGAAGAGTAAGTGCACACTTTTGCTTTCAACTCTTTTTGTTAATCATGTTTCACTTTGGTTTTTGTTTCGACTCCCGATTAAGTTTTGTCTGCAGATTAAGTAATAATTTAGTTTTCTGTGCTGAGATATAGGAATGATTTTATAGGTGGGACACTATTTTAGATATTGATGATGTTCCTTACTTAATACAAAATGAAGAGAAAAGGGTGGCTTTATATAATAGTCACTACCGACCTAGCACATTAAAATAACAACTAAAATCAAACATAGTTAATTCAACTAACTTCTACAACACCATTATTTTAACCCACAACTACTACCAGCCAACTATTACTATTTTACCAGCCAACTATTAATGAAGTCTAGATTATTTTTAACATCCCCCCTTAAGCTAGACTTCATTTACGCCAATTAATTTCCTCATTTTGATGAGCAAGTCCTTCAATGGTTTGGTGAACAAATCTGCCAGTTGGTCTTGGGATTTGCAATATAGAACCTCAATTTCTTTGTCTTTGATTAGCTCTCTGATAAAGTGGAACTTGATCTTGATATGCTTACTCTTGCTGTGAAACATTGGATTTTTGGAAAGACATATAGCTGATTTGTTGTCTCAGAACAGTTTTGTAGGGCCATCTTGAACTTGACCCATCTCTTCTAAAATACTTTTCAGCCACCTAGCTTGACAACCTAATGATGCAAGAGCAACATACTCAGACTCTGTAGTTGAAAGTGCCACTATAGATTGCTTTTTGGAGGACCATGAAATCGCACTTGACCCAATGCTAAAGACATAACCAGATGTGCTTTTGCAAGTATCAACATATCCACCCAAGTCATTGTCACTGTAACCAGTCAAATTTAGATTCTAAACAGGATAATAATGCAAACCATAATTGACAGTTCCAACCACATATCTTAGGATTCTCTTTCCAAGCTCCCAATGAATATCTTTTGGTGATTCCATGAAGCGGCTAAGGAAGCTTACTGCATATGTAAGATCTGGCCTTGTTGTAGTTAAATACAAGAGGCCACCCACCAGACTTCGAAACAAAGTTTGATTCACCATTGTGCTTCCATCATTCTTTCCTATCTTAACACCAACCTCCATTGGAGTAGCAATTGACCTTGCATTTTCAAGCGTGAACCTTTTCAACAATTCATTTGCATATTTCTTCTGAGAAATGTAGATACCATTCTCATTTTGTTTGACTTCAATTCCAAGAAAGAAATGAAGCAAACCAAGGTCTGTCATTTCAAATCTTTGTGATATAATCATCTTGAAATCATCACACATTTGAGCATTACTTCCAGTAAATATTAAGTCATCCACATATAGACAGACAATCAAAATCTCACCTTGAGAGTTCTTCTTGGTGTAAAGAGTATGCTCATATGGGCATTTGTGAAACCCATATTCTTGGAAGAATGCATCAATTCGACTATACCAAGCTCTTGGAGCTTGTTTTAATCCATATAAAGCCTTCTTCAATCTACACACTTTTGTTTCTTCATTTTTCTGCACATAACCTGGAGGTTGAGCAACATATACCTCTTCTTCTAAAACACCTTGCAAGAACGCTGATTTAACGTCCATTTGAAAGACTTTCCAACGATTTTGGGCAACAAGAGCTAACACCATTCGGATGGTGTCAAAGCGTGCAACTGGAGCAAAAACTTCATTGTAATCAATTCCATAATTTTGTAGCAAGAGTAAGCATATCAAGATCAAATGTTTATACATAATTTTGTAGGGCCAAATCAGTTTATACATAGCTGATTCCTACAATTACTTCTTTCTATGTATAAACCGATTTGGCAATGCGTCTGAATTAATTGCAGGAATGGGAACTGAAGTACAGTAAAAAATGTATCTACCAGGATATTATTCCGTACAGAAACTAAGTAGCAATGTTGGCCATGGTAACTGGTCCCTACTCCATGAGAACAAAAACTTGAAGAATGGGCAACAATATGAATTATTCTTGACAAGGCCGATTATGGATGGATTTCATGGACGCGATAAGGAACAAATGAGGAAAAATATACTGAAGCATGAGTCAGTATTCAGGCATCAGGTGTATATTCTAGAACCTAAATCTGTTGAGCTCTAAAGTGTGATTATGACTACAGCTTTTAAGAAATATCAGACAACAATGGTCTTATATTGGTAAAAAAGTGTCAAACTTTGAGTACTCAAAATCGTTAGCTAATATTTGAACACCTTTATGTGTTATTTCTCATTCAGCTCAATGAACTCCATCGTCTTTATGGAAGGCAAAAGGACTTGATGAACAAGATCAAAACCAAAGAAGTACTCAAACATCAAAAAGCAGCAGGGACATCACTATCAACTTTTTCTTCCTCTGGCTTTCCAAATGAAGATGACAGAACCAGTAGGCAGAATTCTAATTTACCCTTGGTAGATTCCAGCTTTGGTAGACCATGTACATCGAGTACTGGTATCAGCCAATCTCCTTGTAATTCTATTGGAAAAACCCTGCAAACCAGTGGTGGCCCCAGTGAAAGTAGAGTCAGGATGAAGGACCACGAATCTCTGGATTCCAGAGGGAAGAAGCCTCGGAGAAGATTGTTCAATCTTGAACTTCCAGCCGATGAATACATCAGTGATGGAGAAGAACCAGAAGGAGTTTTCATGGGTTCAGGTACAGAAAATTATCCTCCTAACAGAAAAATTGAGGTTACTCAGGCAAGAGATGATATTTTATCTAATCACATTGGTGAAACATCCTGCTATAACAATGTTTTGATGTAGAAAGAAGCAGTGGTTTGACTGATCTGAATGAACCTATTCAGACAAGCAGTGGTTTGACTCTAACAGACTGTAGAAAATGACT